GCTCCCTGAGCGGCAGGCGCTCGCAGCCCATGCGGGGCTGTCTGGAACAGGCACTGGGCACGGGGTGCCGGGCATGGGGTGGGGAGGGGCTACTTTGTCCCCCCACCCCCGCACTCAGCTCCACCTTGTAACCCGGCCCCACTGCCAGGCTGGCAGTGGGGTGGGTTATAAGCTGGTGCTGAGAATGGGGAAAAGTGGCCCCTCACCTGCCCCATGACCAGCGCCCTACGCTGCAGCTGCTCACAGACTGCCTGGGGCTTCCTGTGCCTGCTTTGGACAGCCCCGCATGGGCTGCGAGCACCTGCAACATGGGGCAGCGGCCATGGGGCAAGTAAGTGGCCACTTTTTTCCCCACATTCAGCACTGGCTTCTTCCCTGCTGGCAAGCAGGGGGTCGGGGCTGTGCACTGTCCCCCGCCTGTACTGCAGGGCTGGGGGGCACTGGGAGTGAGTGGGCGGGGAGCCAGTGGGAGCACAGAGCCCGCACCGGTGTCCTGAGGCCAGTGCCAGTGGGGCCCAGAACAGGGTGGCAGGAGCACAGGGTCCCAGCTGGCAGGGGCTCTATGGAGCTGGGTCAGCTCCCCCCTCCCTGCTAGTGCAGCCCAGGTCAGCTCCACGGACCCCTGCCAGCCTGCGCCCCACTTTGGGCCCCACCGGTGGTGGCCCTGGGACATTGGTCCTGAGACATTGGGACATTGGTCCCAAGATGATGACCAGGGAGCAGGGCACCTGTCAAGGGGTGGGGCACCTGTCAAGAGGCGGGGCTACCCATGCGGCCCTTGACAGCCTGGCAAAACTGGGTAAGCAGCCCTCCGCTCAAAATAATTGCCTGCCCCTTCTACACACCAGTTTCTATCACTAGATGATGCTGTCTCTCTCTTACATAAACTGTCTTAACAGTACTGAGAGAATTAGCTGAACAAATATTACAGTGATCATAAAAAATACTGCTATAGACGCAGTACCTACCTAATTAACAGTGCCTGCCACCAATTTCACAGGCAGAATGTGGGCCTGGGCAGCTACTTTGTGGGTGGAGAAGTGTAGGGGGCCCCTACCCCCCTGGCCAAGGGGCCCTGGTGGCCCCCTTCTCTTGCTACTGCTTGTTACTGATTGGCTGCAGAACCTATCAGTCATACAGCCTCCCTCACCCCCCCGGCTGCTGATTAGTGGAGATGGGCAGGGCCAGAGTGCAGTTACATAAACCAGAAGGGTGGCTTTGAGTTGAAGGTCCTGTGAACTCCAACCCAGAACTGAGAGACCATGGTGGTGGTCTTGACCTGGCATTAAGTACTTGGGTATTTTTTTCTTTTCTCTTTTCATGAGAATGCCAGCTCTGAGGCCTGGAATACTTGGTTGCCATGTGGATGTGGTAAAGGGGAGGCAGGGGCCCCGCAAAGAACATCCACAGAGCTACACGTGGAACCTTGTTACAACAAGAAGCTTTTTGCTTGCTTAATAAGATCAAGATGTGGCAGGCAAGAACAGAAGGGTGGCTCCCAAGTGTGCATACTCACTAAGGCCATTCTCTCAGCCTATAAGCCCAGGTCTGTAGAGTGCTCAGGCTCTCAAGCCTGGTGGTACTGGACCTATCTCCGGCTCTGGGTACAATAACCAAAGCAGTAACCAAATCTATTTTGCAACCTTTCTTTTGTATGAAAAATAAATGATCCTGACAAACCAAGGTGCTGTAAAATCAACCACAAAAATGGATGAGCAACATTATTCTTCCAAAATTATATTGTCTTGAACTGTGATTATTCTTATCAAATCTCCAATTCAAGTTTTTCCTTAAAAGTCCATACTAAAAAGGGAACGAGTCTCATAACTGTACAGCATAAATTAAATTTACAATTTTTTAATTACATAAAGATAATGTTTTCTGGCATACTACATATAAAATAATTTTGGTCAGATATGGGCCATTAATATGTAGGACAAACATGTTTGAGTGAAGCAAGATAACAATACATTCAAAGAAACCATTCAATTTATACAATTACATTTAAATAAAGATGCATGATAAAAAGTTGGGTTTTTTACATTTCTTTATTGTGCATTATTAACATAAAACCATTGTCAGCAGTAGGTAAATTTTTTTTTAGAGACTAAAAATTCATGGCATAACAAAGTGTTTCTCAAAAATATGTTATTTTATATGTCCCCACTTCAAAGAAACTCATAAAATGTAATGGTGATTGAATATTGGGCCAAGAATGACTTTTTAATAAAATAAGTATTGAGCATGTGTCTTAGAAATGGAAAGAGCCTGTTTTAGCCAGTGAATTGAGAATAAAGAATGCTGGGCTATATTCTACAACCTTAATTTACAGTGAGTAGTGTTCAAGCTTATTGCTTTGAACAATTGTTGCAGATTTTATTTATATTTTTCTTATAACTAGGCTGCTTGCTCAACAGAAATGATTTTAACCCAAATGAGATTAAGGTATTTTAAGTAAGAATATATAAATGTCTCTTTAGTAAGATACTGAAGTGTCCTTAATTTAAATGGAACACTCTTGTACCTTTTTGTAAGGTGTGTTTTTTAAAAACTTGGCTGAACTGGGGCCATAGGTAGACTGACCATAAGGAAATCAGGGATATCTGGGACACTGCCCTTTCCCCCACCTCTCACAAGTTGGTGGGGGCAGGATGGTGTGCCAGGCAGGCAGCAGTGCCTGCCCACCTGCCTGGAAGGTGCTCTGTGCCATTCCAACTTATAGCCAGACTGTTTCCAGGATGCCCGTTATAATTCTCAGCAGCTGGCCAGAACCATCTTCTGAAATTCGGGATTGTCGCAGCTAAACTGGGACATATGGTCACCCTAGCCATAGGGAAGGATCCTGTTAATCTGTGGGTGGAGGAAATACAGGGAATGAAACTTTCCTGGCTTTTTAGCAATTCTGTTAGTATTGAAAACAGGCTAAATGGCTGCAGATAATTCATTGCTAATAACTGGCAATATATTGAATTGGCGGAGGTTTCTAGAAAAATGTCTAAGACTGGTGACAGATTAGGCCATGTTAAACATCTTAACCAACTTGAACCGATCTTAAAATGCATATTAATAACATTCAAATGCAGTTTGGTACCAAGTTGAAAGTAGTTGCAAAGAGGTGAATAATGCAAAAGGACTTCAACTAGAAAAAAGATCAGGAAAAAACAAAACGAAATTCTATTTGCTGAAAACATGCGAGGAAAAATAATCAGAAACACTGATGTTTCTGCGTGGACATGTGTTAAGAAAGAGAGTGCTGGAACTAAATTTCAGCTACTTCAGAATGCTAGAGAATAAAAAACAACAAAAATAAGTTGAAGTTGAATGCATTTATTTATGAGGAAAGACTAATTATCTAAAAGTTTTAAGGCTGTAAGCAATATTTAAGGTACAGTAAATATTTTTTTTTAGAGACATGAAGAAATGAGAGGAATTACTTAGTGTTACCAGGGGGCATTTTGGATAAACAAATTAAGAGAAGACAAAATGCCTATGACAGTCTTTTCTATGACAGTGCATCTTTTAGTCTGTGGAATAGTTTTGAAAGCAAACTGAGAAAGCAGTATCATCAGGCACATAAAATTGGACTTAGCAACAGAAAGCTTACAGCAGATGAATATTCTTAACTGACAATATTGTAAACTTGAAGAACTATTTTCAGTCTTTAGTATCTGTAATTTAAAATATATTTATATGCAGTATATGGACAATCATTTACTAATTTTCTTTTAAAAGTCTAGAATAGGGGGGTTAGCAACCTGTGGCCCTCAGACTTGATTCAGCCAGCAAAGAGCTTGGATCTGGCCCGTGAAAATCTGATTTGTTGGGGTATGGGAGACCAAATTTAAAGGGGCCTCTTTTATAGTGGCTGTATTAGAGTGACAGTTTAAAGGGGCTACACTAAAGTGACCACCTAAGGCCTCCTGCACTGTGCCTTCACCAAATTTGCCATTCCCCATTGGTGCTAGCTACAGTTTTTGTCAGCATCTGAGAAGTGGGGAAGGGTTGGAACAGCAGGGGATTGGTGTTCTGCCACTCAGAAGGTTGTGGACCCTCCAATAAGACTGTATGTGTTAATGAACTTATTGTGGACAAGTACATGCTGTATGTTTTTTTAAAGGGCAAGCTACTAAACACATTAATTTAATGAAGTATATCTTTGTCATGAATATTTAAAATCAACAAGTGATATCTTCTCCCATAGGTGACGTGTAGGGGGGGCATGTGCCCCCCCCCCCTCGAGATTGGCCTCGGCTGAAGCTGCCCCTGGCATCTGCGGGTGGTCCCCACTTGCCACCAACTACAAATGGTGTCCCCCCAGTGTTGGGAGGCACCAGTCATTCATATCTTCTTCTGTTTAAGTACATTGCAAAATTTCCTTCACTTCAGCCAGGCTAGACTTTAATTCAATGAGATTTCATCAGTGCTTAAAGTTATGTATGTGCTTCAGTGCTTTTCTTGATCAGATGGTCATTTTCCATAATGAAAAGATGAGTGTTTTTATGTCTTACTGTTGCAGTTTCGTCATAAGACTGATAACCAGGTGAACAATCGACAGTCTGAAGTGCTCATAGATGGCAAGTAAGAAGCTGTTCATTTTAACTTCAAGATCATCTTAACAACAAATCTTTTGTCTTTTCAGACTATGGAGTTATATAGGTAGAAGGTCTAAATGTTTTTTCTCCCCTGTGGTAAGATTAGAAGGATTGTATTGGCACCTACCTTGTTTGATTCAGTTGAGGTCACAATTCAAATTTTAACTGATTTGAATGAGATTTGATTATGTTAAATAATTGGGGGTGGAGGGGCGATTTGGGCCCTGAAAAGTTCATTGCCTCTTCTTTATTTTTGGGATTTTTTTTTTATTTTAAATCATTGTGCGTCTCTCCTCACAAATTCATTCAAATGTTCATGTAACCAGTCTATTTCAATCCTTTAATTTATTTTTGTTTCAAATATATGAGGTGTAGTGACTAGAATTGCTAGTATGGAAATATTATCTTTTGGTGGTGAGGAAAGATGCTTTTCACTCATTGTAGCACCTTCTATATAAACATTTCAATATATTTTATGGACATGGTCTACTTTGAAATAACAGAAGTTGCCTTGAAGGTTCTTTTAGAATTTTACAGTCCAAGTTCAAGGCTAGCAGAAAGAGCAGCAGCTAGTTTTTCCATTGTTGGGTTTAATAGTTTACTGTGCAGTTTTCACATACTTTTTTCAGTCATTACTAAGTAATTGTTTTTCTCTACACACTGTGTTCTCTTGCTTCCCACTTAGTTTTTGTAATGCTATACTTGCTCTGCAGTCAGTTTGGGCAAGTTCCCATCATTTCTTAAATCCTGGAGCTCACCAATTCTAATGAAACAAATCTATTGAGATGTAAAATAAACATATTGGAACCCTAAATTTACCTTTCATTTGCACTTGGCAACCTGTCTAATTTCTAAACTCTGTTGCAACCTGGATATTTAGAAACATTGCTGAAAAGACAGAAATTTAGAATTTTTTGATCAATATAAATTAAGATTGCAAATTTATTTATATATATATTTTAGATGGATGTATGCTCAAAACCTAAATTAGAACAACACAGTATTTTGAGAAACTTGACAAGGGAAACTGGCTTTGAACTTTATGATGCAGGCAGATTTATCTCAGCTTTCTGTTTTTGTGCTTAAATCAAGATGTGTGTGTGATTAAGAAGAACTTCTTCAATTTTTTAAAATTATAATGTAAACTGACTTATCTTTAAATGGAAAGCTGCTGCTCTTTTTGTCCTCAAAATAGTACTTAAAATCTTATAGTATGAGGCCTTTTATATGAATGCTTGATTCTGTTTTTAAAAGCTTTGGTTAAAATAGATAACTTGGAATCATTGGTTTTATTGGTGAAAATGACATCATTTACAATAAAGGTAGCATTTTGGTCATCACTTAGAACAGATGAGAAAACCACTATGGGTGGAAACAGATGTTGTCTTTATGCCACCAAAATAAATGTTATGCTGGTACGAAGGCAAAGCAAACAGATGTCAGTGCCCCTTATCATTTGACAGATGCCTAAAATTTGTGTCTGTGAAGTATCAGTTTGTTCCATTATTTAGTGGTCAATGCTAGACCTATGTGAATAGCGAAGTATTCAATTTGGATTCGGCCAATTCGGAGGACAGTGATTCTATTAGGAGATTTGGAATACTGTCCTGAATTGATTTGGCTGAATCAGCTTTGGGAGATTCGGTGCTGATTTGGAGAGATTGGTGATTCAGATTGGCCAGGGAGAGGCAGGCACAGCTGGGCAGCTGCAGGTTCTCCCATGTCTCCTTCATCTGTACCCGCCTCTCCCCGGGTGGGGGGGAGCCACGGGAGAAGCCCTCACCTGCCCTAGCCCCATCCCCGCCCTGGCCCCAGCCTAGTCCGGGCACTAAAAAAAAAAAAAAAAAATGCTCCATGCTCACCGGCTTCAGGAGCAGCAATTGGGGCCTCTGGGTGCTTGCGGCAGTGCCCCCCTGTGCAGCGTGGGGCAATGGGGATGGCCCCCCACACTTGGCACCCATATGGCAGCTGTTGCATCGCATGGGCTCAGCGCGGCTCGGCAGGGCGCCACGTGCTGTCTGGGAGCTGGGGTCACTGGGGCTGAGTGCTGCCGGGCTTTGGCTGACTGCTCCCAGATGGTGTGCAGCGCCCTGGGCCGTGCTACACCTGTGCCGTGGGGCAGCTGTTGTGCAGGTGTCATGCAGGGGGATGATCCCTACTGCCCCCCACTGCCCTCTGCTGCGTGGGGGGGGGCGGGGGGGCTCTGCCTCAAGCACCCAGAGGACCCAATCGCTGCTCCTGCAGCCAGTGAGTGCAGGGTGTTTTGTTTTTTTTTTTTGTTAAAGTGCTGGGAGGCTGGGCTAGGCTGGGTGGGGGATGGGGCCAGGCAGGGCAGCTGTGGGGGCTTCTCCCATGGCTCCTCCAGCTGTGCCTGCCTCTGCCTCAGTGGGGGAGCCATGAGGGCTCTGCCTTGATGTTGCTTGCCCGACTGGTGCAGTGGGGCACGATGCAGGTGTGGGTTACTCCAGGCGGCAGCAGGGCATAGCCCATAGTCCTGCCACACCTGAATTACTGCTGGAAGCAGGGGCTCTGCCCTTGCTCTGCTTGCCAGCTGGCACGGTGGGCGAGGGATGCAGGTGTGACAGCACTGGGAGCAGAGTATGCCATGCTGCTACTTGCCCCTTTCTGCCTGGAGTGAGCTGCGCCTGCATCCTGTCCCCCCTCCCCCCCCTTGCTGGGCAAGTGACAGCAGGGCGGAGCCCCCGCTTCCAACGCTGCTGCACCTGCATCCCATGCCCCCTGTCCCTGAGTATTGCACCCCCTGCCCTGGCTGGGAAGCTTGTCCCAGCCCCAGCCCCAATCCTTCTTTCTCCCATGCCCCTCCCCCAACCCCAACAGACTAACCAGCTGGAGGCAACTGTCAGCTGCCTTGTTTAGTCTGTGGCCGAATCGCCAAATCTTTTCCAAATTTTTTTCCAAATCATTTCAGAGATTTGACTTGGTCTCCTGATTCAATTAGAATTTGGAGATTCGTTCTCCCAATTGGGCCATATCTCCTCTGAATTGAATCAGCTACTGAAGTTTCACACAGCCCTAGTAGATGCCTGTTTGTTTTAAGGTATGAGCAGCCCGGAACTGCCCATGCTCTCCAGTTGCCCTGGGCAGGTGCTCCCAGGGCTTCAGGGTCTCAATTACACATGTCCCAGGAATTCTTGGGCCCTTCAGTACCTGGGAGCACCTGCCCACCTTTCCCTCCACTTAGAGATGTGCTGGTTCAGCTCTCCAGTAGGGTCTTGGGGCTGGGATGCCAATCAGCTGATGATGGTCTTAGCCTTGCCCTGGGATGGCATCAGAGCTGGCTTTCTTATTTTTTAGTGTTAATTAGAGCCTCTACATGTTTTCCCCGCTGCCTTGATGAGAATGCCGCCACCACTGTGAGTCCTGTCAGTTGAGGAGCTTGCAGTGGGTCATGCACCCCTGTGGCTGGGAGCATCTCATTTGGTGGGGCTCCCAGCCACAGGGCAGCACCTGGCCACACCTTTAATTAATTATGTGATTAGAACAAGCTACCAAGTTATTACAGATTTTTTGTGCAATAACTTCATGGCTTATTGCTTGTTTTATCACACCATTAATTGGTTGAATGTGTAGCTGGGTTTAACATGTAGAGAAGACCTTAATTTTATATCACCACTGTTGCCCTTTGCTGCACCTGCATATACTTTTCTCTTTGTTGTTCCCTTCGTCTTTTCATTCTATTCTCATTTCAGTTTTTCTTTTTTCATTGCACCTGTTTAGAACAGTATCCTTTTTTCTGGTCACTCTGGGTGAAATCTTGACACTTAAAATTAGTGAATTTTTTGTCATTGACTTCAGTGGGGCTAGGAGTTAACTCTGTTCTCACTCTTTTTCTTCACATATGTCCTTAGAAAGTTCTTTCATTATCATCTCCTTTGTTGTTTGTTTCTTCCCGTCTTGCCTTACTTGTCTCTGCTAAAAATTATAACCAATTTTCTCACTATATAACAGATTGTGTACAACTAGGCTGTTAGTTGTAGGCTTTGCACAATAATGTAAAGATGGGCGGGTGATCAGGGCACGAGCCCCTTGTGCTACCTGTCTGTCCCTTCCCTCAACATCCCACAGCTCCCTGCTGTTGCTTCCACTCCAGCAGAAGGGAGGACAGAGAAGCAGCAATGCACATACAGCAGCAGCTGGGAGTTGATTGCTGCCAGGGGAGATCACAACCTTTTTTTTTGCTGTTAAAAATGTTGTTCTTTTGGCTGCTTGACATGCATGTGGAAGTGATGTTTCCCACAGCAGCAGTGAATCTCCACCTGCTGTTTCTGCACCATTGCTGCTGCTCTGCCTTCCCCATTGCTGGAACTAGAGTCACTACAGAGAACAAGCAGGGTGTAGAGGATACAGTACTGCCCAGGGTGCACTGCTGACCAGTTATACCTTAGAACACAAGAAGTGCCATACTGGGTCAGACCAGTGGTCCATCTAGCTCAATATTCTGTCGCTGGTGGTGGCAGAAGTGGATGCTTTAGAGGAAGTATTTTGAACTGGATCATATCTAGAGTCATCTCTCCCACCATTATTGGTTTAGGGGTGCCAGAGGAAATATCACCAACCATTCTGTTCAATGGCTATTAATAGATCTATCTTCCATGATTTTGTTTAATTTATTTGTGAACCTTTTGGCTTTGGGCTAGTATCATGCATAGTTTGCACTACATGCAAGTAGATATAAAAGTGTTGCTTAATTGTGTTCATGGGGGACCTGTGCTGAAACTTACAGGTTTCAAAAAAGGTAAAACTCATCAATTCTGCATGACAAAAGTCTTGGGTACTCTATGAAAATTAGTACAGATTAGTTTATTTCAAGGTCAGTGTTTTCAAGTTTTCTCCTCACTTTCATGTGCTCAGGGAGAGCAGAGTCTGGTAGTAAAGGAAGGAGGATAGGGATGCAGAAGAAAAGTTGGGGGTGCTGGGGCAGAGGACAAAGGGGCTGTTGCAGTGTCAGGGGGACAAATTCAGGGC